CCCCTCCTGCCCCTCACCTGCTCCCCTTTCACCCCTCCTGCCCCTCACCTGCTCCCCTTCACCCCTCCCGCCCCTCACCGCTCCCCTTCACCCCCTCCTGCCCCTCACAACCCCTCATGCCCCTCACCTGCTCCCCTTCAGCCCCTCCCGCCCCTCACCTGCTCCCCTTCACCCCTCCTGCCCCTCACTTGCTCCCCTTCACCCCTCCCGCCCCTCACCTGCTCCCCTTCACCCCTCCTACCCCTCACTTGCTCCCCTTCACACCTCCCGCCCTCACCTGCTCCCCCTTCACCCCTCCTGCCCCTCACTTGCTCCCCACCTGCCCCTCACTTGCTCCCCCTCACCCCTCCTGCCCCTCACCTGCTCCCCTTTACCCCTCCCGCCCCTCACCTGCTCCCCTTCAACCCTCCTGCCCCTCACTTGCTCCCCTCACCCCTCCCGCCCCTCACCTGCTCCCCTTCACCCCTCCTGCCCTCACGTGCTCCCCCTCACCCGTCCCGCCCCCTCACCTGCTCACCCTCCTGCCCCTCACATGCTCCCCTTCACCCCTCCTGCCCCTCACTTGCTCCCCTTCACCCCTCCTGCCCCTCACCTGCTCCCTTCACCCCTCCCGCCCCTCACCTGCTCCCCTTCACTCCTCCCGCCCCTCACCTGCTCCCCTCACCCCTCCTGCCCCTCACCTGCTCCCCTTAACCCCTCCTGCCCCTCACCTGCTCCCTTCACCCCTCACCTGCTCTCCTTCACCCCTCCCGCCCCTCACCTGCTCCCCTTCACCCCTCCTGCCCCTCACCTGCTCCCTTCACCCCTCACCTGCTCCCCTTCACCCCTCCCGCCCCTCACCAGCTCCCCTTCGCCCCTCTTGCCCCTCACCTGCTCCCCTCACCCCTCCCGCCCCTCACCTGCTCCCCTTCACCCCTCCTCCTGCCCCTCACCTGCTCCCCTTCACCCCTCCCGCCCCCTCACCTGCTCCCGTTCACCCCTCCCGCCCCTCACCTGCTCCCTTCACCCCCCTCACCTGCTCCCCTTCACCCCTCCTGCCCCTCACCTGCTCCCCTCCTGCCCCTCACCTGCTCCCCTTCACCCCTCCTGCCCCTCACCTGCTCCCCTTCACCCCTCCTTCCCCTCACCTGCTCCCCTCCTGCCCCTCACCTGCTCCCCTTCACCCTCCTGCCCCTCACCTGCTCCCCTTCACCCCTCCTGCCCCTCACCTGCTCCCCTTCACCCCTCCTGCCTCTCACCTGCTCCTTCACCCTCCTGCCCCTCACCTGCTCCCCTTCACCCCTCCTGCCCCTCACCTGCTCCCCTTCACCCCTCCTGCCCCTCACCTGCTCCCCTTCATTCCTCCTGCCCCTCACCTGCTCCCCCTCACCCCTCCTGCCCCTCACCAGCTCCCCTTCACCCCTCCTGCCCCTCGCTTGCTGCCCTTCACCTGCTCCCCTCATGCCCCTCACCTGTTGAAGGGGCAGGAGGAGAGCAGGACCGTTCCCCCCGGCCTGGTTCTCCCGGCCTGGTTCTCCCGGCCTGGTTCTCCCGGCCAGGTTCTCCCGGCCAGGTTCTCCCGACCAGGTTCTCCCGGCCAGGTTCTCCCGGCCTGGTTCTCCCGGTCAGGT